CATCCCCCACCCCTCGCAGAACCCACCTGCCTCCCAATCTCTCCTGCAGATCATGCGTATGCCCTCCCAATTGCTCCTGTGGATCACACCTGCCCCTCCCTCCCACCCCACCATGTATGCTGCCTGCACCCCCTCAGCTCCCCCAGATACTGCCTGGCCCCCAAAACCACTGATCATGCCTGTGGATCCCACCTACCCCCTGCTCCCCAACTGGATCCTACTTGCTCCCTGATCCCTTGAAGATATTCACTCCCCTGCAAGTCTGCTTGCTTGCCCCCCATCCTCCAACCTCCCCAACCCAACTTATCTTAGGTCAGGTGGCCACTTTTAATGTGATCTAACCTCTCAATAAGGTTAAGTGCAGACAGAATAGGAGTAAGTAAAGGAATATTTTCAGCATGGACCATAGAAAAGTAAGTGCAAAACTCATGTTTAATATCATTGTATCATCAGCCTAGTAAGAAAGTACTTACAGCAACCTAATCTCAAACAGCAGGATTTGACTGCCATTGATGCCAATGGCTGCCAACACAATAGATATTTCTAAATGTGAGCAGCAGAAGCTAGCTAGCTAATACGATATTTAAGAATTCTTTAACTTCCAAATAGCCAGACAGAAATTGCCTTGCATCTTTGAAGTAAGAGCTCAGTTTATACTTCTATGATACAAAATGCTCCAGTGCATTTGTTTAGGCTATTCTGGAAGATATTAGATAATAAGTTTGATTCTTCTGTCAGTTAAATTCCTCAGCAATTTGCATAGAATTACTACCAAGCTGTGAAATTTATACTTTTAAAATTATTTACATAGGATGTAAGCACATTCCAAGATATTTCCCCAGTGAGACATCAGACATTATTGTCTCAGAAAAAGCTAATATAACCACCAATCCCCCAGCAACTACACAAAATTTCCTATGTTAAAGCAGTAATATCCATCATGAAATTCAACTGTGACAAACACAAGATAATACACATTAGAAAAAACAATTTTAAGCAATTAACCTTTACTGGGTAGTAAATTAACTAGAACCATTAAGGAAAAAGTCCTGTGCACAAATATGGGAAGCTAACTGAAAGCATCTGCACAATGACAGACAGCTGCAAAAAAAGAGGAAAAGCAAAAGAAAACAAAATGTCCAGGTAGATAAACTGAGAGAAAGAAAACAGCACTAAAAAATATTATATTGCGTGTAAATCAATACGC